TAATATAGTTGAGTCTTAGACAAAGTCCTGTTCAGCAATGTTACTTCTTAGATCAAAGAACAATGAATATTGAGCAGTGCCTGTTATCTGTGACAGTACACACATAACATGTAGGAGAAGAACTCAGTGGGAGGGCCTGGAAAGGCAGTTATTCCCTTTCATTACTGCACAATGTGTAAGTAAGTCAAAATAATTCCTTAGATCTATATGCGGATTATGATTCTTCTGGTCTTCAACCTTTCAGGCCTTATTGTGGGAAAGTTGTCCCTAACCAGTCTGCACAGACTCTGGACAACACAAGCAAATTAAGGCTCCTGTCTTCTGATTCCTGAGCCAGGACTGAGATTTCATGCAGGTCTCCTTAACCCGCAGGATCTCTAGCTTTGCTTCCACAAACGTGACAGCTCTGAATCACCCACCCCTAGGTGAGGTTTGGACACTAAATCTCCCATTCCCCTCCCTATCTGTATTGCTGCCCTACTCATCATAGACTTGCTAATTTTATCATAGGGGAAGGAGGGCTTTGTACTTCTAAATCAGACCTGATAATTCATATGGAGCATGTCTGATCTATCCTCCAGAGCATCATCTGTGAAAGTGTACTTTTGAGGTACTTATGTACTGCTGATCCCTTGTCCTGAAATAGGTGTTAGATGTTAGGCAGTGAATGCAGTCAAGACAAGTGTAGTCAGCCCTGTTGTGTACACCACAATGACCCCTTCTCAGGCTCAGATAATAGAGCATTGACATGTGACAATAGCAAGGGTTATATTACATTGGATATGGAGAAGTCTAATGATGTTAATTGTGCAATGCACACCCAAAGGCCCAATATTTAGTGTTCCTCTCACTAACTCATACACCATTGAGGGCAGGGAAGATGTCTGATATATGAAGCAGTCTCTTGTGCATGAAAATCACTCTCACTGGGATCTTTCTGTGGAAATGAGTACTCACCATTTCAACAGAAATGCTGCTCTCATTGACTTCTATCGTTTTAGTAATCCTCTACAGTCAGTTGCTTTATTCTGTCAGGAGCCTGCTGTCCTACTGGCTGATCTCCGTATTACTGGTACCTGACTCTACTTAATACAGTAGGAGCTGTTGTTATCCTCTCATGCCCATAAGCATGCATTTATATAATGAAGGCACTGTCTTCCCACTCTCTACCACTCCTGAGCAAATGTGGTGAGGAGGTAACCTCTGTCCTGCACACATGCAGTGCTGCTGGACTGTTGGACATAAACCAGCAAGTTGCTGCCAGCTACCTGTTCCAGCCTTGATGGTAGTTTTATCCTTGATGGTGACTGCAGGAGTGAAGTTATTTGCATGGCCCATTGCCATATATCCAGTCTGCCTCTGTAGATTGCTTATTCAAGATGGCATGGTGCCCAGGAGAGGAACATTGTTGCTGCGGGTATAAAAAATGAAAAAATGCTTACATTTGTGGCAGTTGATGGCCCTCTAATACCCAAAGGGGCCAACAGAGAGCAATGCAATAAGGCAGTTCTTCTGGCCCACTCACCATGATGCAGCACTTGCAGAGAACTATATTAGCATATTCAGATGCCTTCATTTTCAAGGGAACAAGATTTTTGTCTCTCTCCATTTAAACCTTTTTTTTTTTTAAATCCTGCCACCATTGCCTTTGATTGTAGCATACGTGTGTAGAGCTAGGTAAGTAGCATTTGTGTGACTGATGTAGACTGTGCAGAAATAGTATTGATATAATTTCCAGCTTCAGTTCTGCATTCCTTGTTTTTGTCATATGTCAGGACACTAACATTATTTTAATATGGTTTTATAATTGCACCTAATGTGTCACTTACTGTGCATATCTCTTCTGATTTCTGTGCAGATAAATAGATCATTTATCTTTGCCAGATTGTTTAGTCACTTGTATTGATAAGATATTTAATTTTACCAAGTTACAAAAATCTAAGATGATTTAGAGAAGGGTCAGTACTGGGATAATTTTATATTTTATATTCCTTAATGATCTAAAGCCCTAAAATGCTGGCTTCCTCCTTGCCATTTTTAATTTTTTTTTAATGGAGGACAGTTTCCTTCCTTTGTTCACAGTTTACATCATTTAGGAAAATTTAGAACATCTGTAAAACTCTTGTTATTTACTTAATAAAGATTCCTTGAAAATTCAGAAATTTTATTTGAGTAAATAGGGTTCCTTTTTTGAGACAGGAAAGAGCTTCCCAGTACTGCCATCAAAGTACAAGTCTGTGTACATATTGGTAAAGCATGTTTTTTAAACCAGGTAGCAGATTAGCAAAGGGAAAATCTTTTTTCCATGTTCATTGGATGGGAGCCTCTGGAACTGCATTTTGTCATTTTGGTCTGGATATGGGTTGTCAGTTGTAGGAACAGTTTTAAGTGTTTTACCCACTTCTTTACATACTATATTTCACCACTATACAGCAATTTACTAAAAAAGTTAATTGCTGTATTATTTTATGGTGACCTTGAGTGTGTTTCATATCTGAAAAAAATGACATTTGGGTTTTCTAATTTAGAAGCACAAAAGAGGTTGAGACAGCACTAGTACCTGATTCACACACTGAAAAACTGCTTACATTAAATTATAGGCTGCTGAAGCTGGAACCAAAGATAACATTATTAGACTTTTGCATTAAATATGATTAATGGGACAAGAGGGATATAGTGCAGGCTACCTGATGTATATACCTTATTTATTTTCATGGTTAAGATTTCATCATTTAAAATCAAATGTGTATGTGTGTGCATTTTTTCTCTTTCTCCATTTTGTAGGCTAAAAGCTTGCCTTTTAAAATGCTCACATTTTCTAAAAGCATCTAAGTAAACTGTAGTGGAATTTTGGAAGAAGAGGAACTCTCCAATCTCCTTTCTCTTTCTGTTCAAGATCTTTAGGGTTCAGGATTGTATAGGATAGTCTTATAACACAAAAATTCATTGGCAATGGGAAAAGAATTATTACTTACAGATGTGCCTGCTGTTTGCAGAATATACAAAAAAGATAAGACAAAGCAAAAGTAATATTCAAAAAGTACCAAGCCCTCATAGCTTCATTTAGTGACTGGAAAAATATAGAAATTGTGTTTTCCTGTAAAAATACTGAAACCTTGATTCTGCCAGACACTCCTTGGTTTGCATAGCTGCTTATCCAGAAAATGTGTGTGTCGCCTAAGGACAGCGATCCTGTTCCACTGAGGATGGCGCACAACCCTCTTCTTGTTTCATTGATCAGCAATATACATCTTCCAGAGCACATAAGCGAGAGAAGGGAGCCACCTTCTTATAGCCAATAGGAAATGCTGACTTACGGTACACATCACATGATTCCATAATCTCAAGATCCAAATGGCCCAAAAGGGGAATCCATTTACATAAACTAGTATGAAGGAGGGCCACCTAATTATCTTTGGTCTAGCAGCCTAGTGGGTGGGGCTGTCACCCAGGAAGTGAAAGACTTGGGTCTTGGGCCTCTGCTCAGGCTGAGTGGATTGAATACACAGCTCCCATTTCTCAAGAGAATGACTTAACCACCAACCAAAGAGCTAAACTGTGCCACTGGGTGGAAGGGACTCTAGTCATGGGATTAAAGGGCAAGCATACTAGATGCAGCCTAACTGTATAGCCCGATGAAGCCTGCTTGGAAGGGGAGGAAAAATAAGTTCTTTTCCCAGTGCTATTTGGGAGACATCTCCTGATGATCATTTAATGCAAAATGCATAGATAGCATTGAAAACAAACTCTACAGAATAGAAAGAAAG